CCAGATGGGAGATTCCACAGAAGGTTGTGGAGAATAACAGAGCTAAGATCCTGTGGGACTTTCAGATCCAGACAGACAGGCAGGTCCTGGCCAATCAACCACACATCGTGGTAATAGACAAGGACCAGATAGATGTCGCAATGGCAAGTGACATCAACATCAGAAAGAAGGGGTATGAGAAGCTGGAGAAGTACCAGGGGCTGAAGGAGGAACTAGAGAAGACATGGAAAGTAAAGGCCAAAGTGGTCCTAGTGGTGGTAGGAGCACTCAGGGCTGTGACTCCTAAGCTGGGAGAGTGGGAACGACATCAGAGCTCTCTGTCCTCAGGTAGAAGACCCAAGATTGAGAAAGACACATATGTTTGAGGGTTCTGCACAGTATCTTAGCTTTTCCTAGCATTGCAGTCTTCTGGATAGAGAGCTCTGATGTCGTGCCTCTTGTACGTTCTCTTTTGGAAGATGAGGATGACATTTGCTCTGCTCCCTGCTTCTTGAATTTTACCAGTCCTCCAGGAGTTCTCAAATGTTGTGCAATTACCTCTGCTTAGTATCCTCACTAATCTATCTGGCCCTAGAGACTTGAATTTTTTAAATTTAGTTTATTTCTCTTTTGGCCCCTCCTTGCTTATCTTAAGCTGCAGTTCCCTCATTCTTCTGGTGGCATAATGATGACCACCTAAGGCTCCATTTCCCTTCTGAGAGAAGACAGACACCAAAACAGGAGTTAAGGAGTTAACTCTTAACACTTATTTTTCATATCTCCTGCAAGCATTAGCTCATTCTGAACTTTAGCTTTTCAAACAGAGTTCCTATAGTTTTGGAGACCACCTTGCATTCTTCTTCAGGTATGTCCCCCACTTCCATTTCCCTTTTTTTCTTTTAGCATTTTAGAGAATTCTGCATGTACTCATGTTGACCTCTTTAGATCATTCCTATTTTTCTTTCTTGTGGGGACTGTTTGAGACTGCACCTTCAGTATACCATTCTGTAGAATTTTCCAGTTCTTTCTTCCACTTTCTGACTAATGAAGTTCTCAGTGAGGGAGGACAAGAATTATTTGGACCTCTGACTCTTGGCAAAGTTAGATTCCCAGCAGATTATCAGGATAATTGAAAACCACCCATTATCACTATTGCATACATCTTTGAAAAACTGGTCACCGGATGCAGAAAGGCCTCATTTGTTTCTCCTGCCCGCCCTGGTGGTCTATAATAAACTCCCAAAATGGTATCATTTTTTCTCCTCTCATTATTATTCCCAGATACTTTCAACAGGATTTCATGCTCTGCTGAATTTCTGTTCAAGTATATTTTTCCTTTACGTACAATGTAATGTCCCGTATCCTTTCTCTTGGGTCTGTTCTTTTTGAATAAACTGTAGCCTTCCATTGCTGTGTTTCAATCATGAGTACCACCCCAACATGTTTCAGTAATACCCATCACATTATATTTGTCTTTATTTTCCTGAATTAGGATCTCTAGTTCTCCCTATTTATTTCACATACTTTGTGCATTAGTGCAGAAATATCTGAGTTCTGAGTATGATCTACTGGCACTTCTGTTTTAGTATTGTATAAAAGTCATCGTAATCTGCTTCTCCTTTTTGTTCTGCTTTCTTGGCTCCAATCTTTGGATGCATATTTAGTCCTGGATTTTTGCCACCCTCCCTCTTTCGATTTAGTTTAATCTCCTAATGATGAGACTGGCAAGGTGACCATCAAACACTTTCTTCTCAGTTTTTGTTAAGACTTGTAAGTCTTCATACAACAAGGCACCTTGACTAGACTAAAAATAATTCTGACATACAGTAGTTCAACATATTTTTAGGCCACTGATGAAGCATTCAATATTTTAGCATCCTTTCTCAACCCTGGTGACTTCTGCATATTTAGACTTCTGCATATTCAGACTTCAACTGAGCCCTCAAAAGGAGCCCTGAATCAAAATGTACTGGTTAGATTATATCTGGTCTTTCCTTCAGTAGGTGACAGTATATTGAAGAGAAGTCTGTAACAACCACTGTATGAGATAAATTGGACTGAGATATCATTTTCTGAGGTCTCCTAGCTAACAGTGAACTTCAAACATGGTCTTCATCTAACAGGTGTAGTCCATCATTCTAACCATTAAGATGTATCAGCTCTATGTAACCACTTATATAAAGACATCATTCAATAACCAATCAAAGAAGGAGGGAAGCTAATAAATCTAAAACCTTCTGAGATGATGAGAAATCCAAAAAGAATAAGTATGATGCTGGGATACACACTTTCTATATCTTTTATATATGAAATCAGAATACTGGGGAAAATTTCCAACTGATATTCAGGCATCTACATATAGAAGTGATTTTTTTGTTAAAACCATTCCAGCCTCACAAGATGTGAGCAAGAGCATGCACCTGAATAAGGTAGAGAAGATGCAAAGGACAAGTGGCCAGGAGTGACATTTCATTTTAGTTATTAGGAGTTTCACTTATCATGGCAGATTCATGAAAAGCAAAAACAGCTTCTCAGCAATCAGGCAAATATGAACATGACACTGAACATGATTTTCTCAAGACAAATTCCTGTCTGAAACAGTAAGAATGTAGTTCAGTGTCAATATCTAAGAACCTTGTGTCATTGCTAGTGGGGGAGCAATGGAACCTTATTTCCTCAGGAAAAACAAACCAAACCAAACCCAGAAGTGGAAGGAAACTGCATACCTTGAATCGGTTTAGGTATTCGGGCAGTCGAAGCACCTCGATTTCTTCTGGCAGTGCCTGTTTTGGTGTTTCTTCTGAATCCTTGGTGTCTTCTGGAGAAACTTCAGGCTCAGGTGCTGGGTGCAAAATGTCTGCCAGAACATCAACCTTTGCAACACAAAAGCAAAAAAGCCGCAGGTGGCTTAAAGTAAGACAAAAAAGTATCCTGTCTGTGGGTATCTTTTCGTAGTCTGTGCATCTTCCTCAACATTTTGAGAACACAACATTAAAATAAAAAGCCAAACAAAAGTTAGGAATCAAATTTGAACAACAGAGTGGACTGAAAACAGGGCGCAGTACCTTAATGTTTTGTTTTTTTCAAAACTCATGGCTTTAACTGCAGAAAAGGGCTTAACTTTTTTGACAGCGTGTACTGTAAACTGAAAATATAAGACAACAATGAACCACACTATTAAATGACCAAAATAGTTTTAAGACTGGGAATTTTAAGGATTTTTAAGTTTTGTTTTTTTTCCCATGCTTGCGTGTTGGTTGAAGACTGATATTTGATGAAGCAGACCAGGCCTTTCTGGAATTACTACTGATTTTATTATTGACTCCAAATAAGTCACAGATGCTCTTTGCTGAAAATAGTTTGAATCTTCAATGACAATTACAAGAAGAGATTACAGTGTATTACGTTATATAATTTCTATCTGAATTCCTGTTTTGGAAACAAAAAGTTACATAACATCTTCTCTATGATTTTCAACAGAATCGTGTACCTGTACCCTCATTTTGATAACAGGCCTGTCTGAATGGAAATTTGGGTGACTGTACTGCACATTTTTGAATGTGTTTCCCAGAAGTTGATACTCAAAAACATTGCGGGAGGACTTACTAGAATCAAGGAAATAGGAAAAATTGCTGCATTATCAATAATTCTTGTCAGAAGCAGAATCAGCAATGAGGTAAGGGTGAGGAGAACATTTCCTCTGGGCTTTCTGGAAGCATCATTTTCTTTTCAAGGTGAAGATAAGCACAGTGGTATTCAACACGTATTTCAATACATATCTGAACTATATAAAATAGTGCCAACCACAGTAGCAACCCTGCTGCTGAGCCAGGAATACACCAGGCCACATTTGGTTAAATGATTTTTCACTTACAGCTTCCTGGCAAAGCTTCACATCTTCAGGAAGCAAGGCCACATTCTCCATTACTTGCAAGGCTCTGTTCAGATACCCTGGGGTCCACATGAGCGGCATTTGGTGGTAAACAGCTCGCAATCCTTTCTGCAGCTCCACTTTACCTGTTAGTAAACAGCCGTTGTGGAGTTACTCCATTGCTTAAAGCAGAAAACACAGCTAAGCCTTGGGGCCAAAGAGACATGATGATGAATATGAAACTAGAAACTATGTCAGCAGTTTCTTTAGAAATGAACAAGGGACACTGATGGGCAGGCAGAAAATTTTAACTGAGGTTATAGGATATGAGAAGGGATAGTTTAATACAGTGTTTCTCAACCTTGGCAACTTGAAGATGTGTGGACTTCAAGCTGCCATGGTTCAAGCTGCCATGGTTCAAGCTGCCATGGTTGAGAAATGCTGGTTTAATACCTTCTTCTACGTTGGCCATAATAACAACAGCAAAAACTCTTCCTCTATTATTACAGTTACATTCAGAGCAGAAAGCAGATACATAATTCCCAGAGGGATGTTAAGAAATCCAGCTACTTTTGGATTTCAGAATGCTTCTCAGTGTCTCCCTTTGCTTTTACAGTCTCCTACAGTTCACAGAAAGGGCCTTTAAACAATGTTGAAACAACATTTGTATAGTTTTTCTAGGAACAGAGTGTGTGGTTTCAATAAATATTTCTTGGCCTAGTTGAGATTAAGTTCTGCTTTACTTATTTCTCATTTATTTATTTATTTGTTCAATGTATATGATCACCCATCTCAGCAAGTGACTCTGGGTGGTGAATAGAATTAAAGAAAGTAAAAACAATTATAAACATTAGAACAATACATAGCAGCTGAGAAACACTATAACCCAAATCACTAATATAACCAAGAAATGGGTTTCTGTGAGCACTTGGGGACCCAGGCCTGGGCACAAAGCCAGGTCTTCAGGGTCTTATGAAAGGTCAGCAGGATCAGGGCCAACCTGATCTCTGGAGGGATAATGTTCCATAAGGTGGGCACTACAGCAGAAAAGGCTTTCAAATGGAGCTTTGCATCTCTTACTACAATTTATATCACATTTACAGTATATTAATCACAAAGGAACAATTAACAATGCAACCTATTGCAACATCCATCTACCTCTCTCTTTCTCAACGAGGGAACCCATGAAGCAGCAAGAACCACACACTTAAACAAAAAGTTAAATGTACCATATTTAAAAATAACCTGCTAAAATGCTCTAGGCTGGTCTGTGTCTACAGGCATCTTTCATTCTGTATACAGGCCTACTCCATTAGATCTGGCAAGATTGCAAAACACATAGCACGACAGAGAGTAGCTTTTGATCTTCAGAATGTTCAGGTGAGACTTTGGTCTAGAGAAGTAAAATAATTTGCTAAATCCAATTCCTTCCTAAACTATTCACGGTTGTATTTTAAAGATTTGAAAACACTAATCAAAGATTGTTTTTAAAAAAGGACAGCTGAAGTGGGGGGGAAAATGGTGCTAATTAGTTTACAATTTTCATCTCTATTGCAGTTAGAAGCTGCCACTTTTTAAATTGTACCACCAGGTAAAATCAGGATCTGCATCTAATCCTGATGTCACAGCTGGGAAACCATTGCATGCATCAGGGCAACTATCTAACACTTTTTGATAAAGCCTGTCTCTCACCTGAAGGTAACATGCCAATTAACAGCTATTCATAGGGGGGGCAAGGGGTTTTTGACTGTGCGCACAATAAAGCCATTGTAAAATATGAAAAAGAGATTGAAATAGAGGGAATTCAGACACTGTATGCTGAGCTTTAATCAAAAAGTATTTTGAAATCCCAAAATGATTTGAAGGGAATAGGGACTGCTCTAGAAGGAACATTCCCCTTTCTTTAAATGTTAATTTACAGTCTCTAATACTTACTAAATAATAATTAATGTTAGAGAAATAACTTCCCATACATACAGGCAGGAATTTTAAGAGACAGAACAGGGCTACAAAGAGGACATTTCAAACATATCATTTTCTTGAGAAGTCTGGCCCTGTTTCAAGTTGGGTCTAGCCCCTATTCAGGTTTAAACCAACTCCAAATAATATTGCCAGTAAATTAGCTTGGAGGACGCGACAGAGAAACCTGTAATGCTTCATGGAATACCTATACTCCTGGGGATCATGGGCCTCTAGTTGGAAAACAGCAAATGACTCCCTCATGTATAGCTAAGGAGTGATTTCTACTTGTTACCATTTACCTCCTTCCTCAGTTGATTGTTTTGTGGGCAGATGGTTGAGATGACCCCAGAAAGACAGATTCAACCTTTTGGGCTTTACAAATATTCAAAAGAATTTTGGACTGATTGTTGAGGTGGATTTTATATTATTTGGACTGTGTGCCAATATGCTTAATTTGATTTTGTTCTGATTTTGTAATGTGTCAAGGCATATTAGAATTTAATTGAAGAATGTTACAATTCCATTTACTCCAGACTCATCAATCAAAGCAATATGGAAATACTTTTTAATTAAATATTTGTTAAAACTTACCAAGAAGTGCACAGCCATATAGCTGAGAACTAAATCCTATAGTGTTGGTCTGCTTGAGGCCCACTAACAACATAGATGCTCCAAGATTTTTCTCTTCTTCCCACTGAAAACAGGAAACATTGCTTGAAAAATGTGAAAACAGAACAAGGTTACATATCCCTCCCCATTTTCTGCTTTATTAAACAAAGCATCTCTCTATCTGTACACACTTCAGCAAGTTGCAGGGCTCTTGTTTACAGCTCATTTTGACTGGCCTCTAAGCTAAGCAGGGTTGGGATAGGCAACCTCCAGGGAATATCAGGGCTGTAAACTAGACTGCAAAGTAAAAAAAAAAAAAAAAATCATGGAAGAACTCATGTGAAAGCACTTCTGTACTGTTGCCAAGAAGACTGTATTGGCATGTCCATAATATCATGAGGAACTAACCTCAGCTTGAAGGCTTTTCTTTTTCTTCCCCTCTTCCTCCCTATACACAGACTCTCACACAGAAAGAAAGCTGACAGCAATGCCAAAGTAGAGATAGGCACAAAACGGCAGCTTCTTTCACTTGTGGATGATAATACATAAGTATTTAAGAATCTCAGATAAGAATTGACATTCATTGAGTCTGGGGAGAAAGATAACTGTAAAAATGGATAGTATTTCCACGATATACTTAAGTTATTTTAAGCAGACTGATAAGATACTAATATTTTTTTGTAATGGGAAGGACAAACCACTCCATTTTCTTTACCTAAGTTAGAACTATCGTATGGATGGTGAGGGGTTTAACTTTCCTGACTTTCAGGTTTGTCTATTTATTTAATTTGTATGCCACCCATCTCCCTGCCCATTAACATTAGGCATACACAGTGTCTTCAATTATTCTGCAGAACACAAATGAACAAGTCATTAAAAAAAGATTTAAAGTTGTGAAAATTATTTTATGTTATACTCCAAGAACTTGGAACTTAATACTATGTGAAAAGTTATGGTTTTATCAAGCAGGGGGAGAAAAAAAAATTGTTCTTCAAGTTCAAAAGATCGTGTAAACCCCGATTCATAATCTTGAATCGCCAATATACATTCCATGTCATGTCTTGAACTGGTTCTCTACCAATTTGGTGGGACAACTGATCAACAGAATTCCTGTAGTTGAGGTTTAACGATGTATTTAAACATTAGGCAGAATGGTTTCCCATATGTAATGTGTTTTTGCTAATCCCTTCCTTTCTTACTTTTTACTCTCTTGTTAAAGATTTGTTTTTAAAAAACAAAGTAGTATTTACATAAGATTACACTGCTATAGGGGAGGCAAAGAAAGAGAAAAATAAGAATTCACTGCATGTTCTGCCAGCACAATTAGAGCTGAACATAAAGATATTCTATATGAAATTTAGGTCACAAGTAACTCTACAAAATTTGACCTAAAGTAAAAGGAATAGTGAAATCCTAAAGTAGATCAGCCTTATCAAGATGGTTGACTATAGTAAGATATGAATAAAAGAAGTGAGAAAGGAATCAAACATCCATTTGTAAATTTAGAAGAAAGAGGGAGGAAAGAAAAAAAATAGGATCTTATTTGCTATAGATATTCTCTTCTTATTTGCTATAATTAGGAAACTGAAAGGAAACCACAGCTTTATTTGTTTAAATCATTTTTATATAAAAGTATATGAAGCCAATTATTTGCTGTACAATAAAAAAAATTTCCTACAACGTTTCCAAGTTCTTCAAATGAGAGGAGTCATTTTTCTGAACTGCTATTTCAGGACCACCAGCTTTTTTATATTTTCTTTCCCCACATATTAAAACATTTGAAAAACTTTGCCACCAAAATCCACTAGACTTTTATCACTTTTAGGCCTCAAGGCTCTACATGAAAAAAGCAGAATAGTTTTTCAGGAAACATTCTAAAAAGAGAAGTAATGACAAGGCTGCACTTGAATTCCAAAGGGCTGTGAACCAGCTAGAAACCACAGCTACCTAAAAAGATTGGTGAGAGGCTGGGAAAGTACCAAGATGGGTATTTTGGAAAGGAATGTCAATTCTCCCTCTTTATGCAAGCAACCAGCCTTTTCCACTTTTCTCTAGAGCAGTGTTTCTCAACCATGACAACTTGAAGATGTGTGAACTCCCAGAATTCCCCAGCCAGGTATGGTGTCCAGCCTTCCAGGCCTTACCTTTGAGGTTCATGTATTAAGCATAGACATCTAAGTAGTGGAAGATATTCATACTTAAACATGGACATGATGTGGAACTCTGATCAATATACAGATATTGAAGGTTGGGAAGCTGTATTGCCCCAAGCTGTTTTCTCTTATTCACTTTGAATCTCCTTCATTTTAACAAATATAGTTTGGCTCCAAACCAGTGACTAAATCCATTCCCAATCATTGTTTCAGTTCCTGCTTTAGAAGTAAATTATGTTTAAATGTAACTTTTTTTTCAGTTTGTGCACATTTCTGATAATATAATTTAGGGTTACAGAACTGAATCTGGCCCAAAGGCTGCCTTCATTTCTATTACATCCTCCACAGGATGGAAATTGAGGGACAGAGAAGCCCTTCTTCTGAAGCCCTAGACTGCTGATATCATCCAACCTTTACTTCCTCTGGCCAAATATGGCTCCAAGATTCCATTTGAACAAACACTAGAAGATTTTGTGGCATTTTCTCTGGCATTTTCAGACACACTAAGCTAGAAACACACTAAGTATGGGTTTCACCCACTCTGGTACCCTTCCCCTTTTCTCTTTGATAAAAGTGTGGTTCAGCTGAAACAGAGAAAGGCTTGTGGGTGCTGCCCAACCTGAAATGCCAGCATCATGGTTCGCATCAATTTCAGATATCTTTCACACTTTTTGAAGGGGACAGTGTGGCAAAAGGAAGTAGTTGGCACAGGATAGCAAAGCAGACTATCCTATAGCAGACGCCAGGTGTGGTAACACGAATCATTGGCTTTGACAGCTGGTGATGATGGAAGGGAGATGTTATGGGAGAAAGTAGAGTAGCCATGGGGTCAATCAAGGGCCATATACCAGCTGGCACAGCCTGGCAACTTAAATTATACTTAAGGACGTGAAGTCCTTTCATTCTTGGCTTTAAATCATATTTTGAAAGAATGGACATGCTGCATCTGAATCATACAGCTATATATCTCTTTAGCCATAACCACAAACATTTCATTATGCAAGTGGCTTACCGTAAGTTCTGATTTGGTTGCCAAATACTTGTACATGGTATAAAGTGAGAGAAGTTGAGTAGACACTTCAGTAAAATCTTCCTGAATCATTATTTCAGTCACTACAGCCATAGCATCTAACAATAATAAAAACAAGCATTAAAATGGTTGTTTAAAATGTATTACAATAATTATCCCACCAATGTAGTTATAGAAATAAATATATCAAACTGTTTATTTCAGATTAATATGACATAAACAGCTGGTTAAAAATCCCAGTGATCTTATGGGGTAAATGTCATAAAAGTGTATGTCATTTTAAGACTATGTTCTTAAATGTATTCCTGTATTAATACTTTTAATATCCACATTAAACACCTATATTAATACCATTCAGCAGATTGATAAATTAAGGAGGTTTTATGGGAAGGACAAATTTCTTGATTTTCTTTACCTAAACTATCATTGCCATGTGATTGTGAGGGTTTTAATTTTCCTGCTGTTCAACTTTATTCTTGGGCCTTCTCTTTTTCAGTGGAATCCAGGTGATCAAGTCCAAAATTCATTATGGGCATAATTATACGCTTATTATGTGACTCCCTCCAAGGGAAGTCCTTGGGTTCTCTTTTACTCATAATTATACTGTTTCCAGCATTAAAGACTATTATGGTCTTCCCACAACCTGGGAAAAAGGAGGCCGGTTTGGCAAAGGGAATCTTAATTCCTAAAACAGCAGAAGTATATCCAATTCAAATATATTCTAATTTCACAATTTGATCTAATTCTTTTTTGTGTGTATTGAATATCTCAAATAATATTTAAAGAGGTCTAGTTTTATCAACTTCATTATGATGGAAGTATAAAATGATGAGGAGATACAGCGTATGAAATAGACTTGCATCACTATTATTCTGTTTTAATTTAATATCCCTAACTTTGTTAATATTGTTTTGGGAAAAGTAACATAGTTTAAAGATACATGATTTTGTTTTATATATAAAAATGGTATTTATCAATATATAAAGAACTACAGATATACTGGGCATGGGGCATAGCAAAAAATATTACACTTTTAGAATGGAAAGGCAGTTGGAACCCAGATTTGATGAAATACAGTATGTTTGCTCTCTGTTTATGAAAACTGCCTCTTTATCAGCATAATGGAAACACTGATCAATATTATTCTGGCTGGTCAAGTTTTAATGTTCTATTTAAAAATGGAGGGATTTTTTAACTATACGTATTTTGTGTCTTTTTTCCTTTTGAAACCTTTGCATCTTTTTGCTTTTTCTGTTTTATACTAAACAAGTAACAACAGCAACAATATAAAAGACACAAATAAGCTCTAAGGGCATTTTAGGCAAATTCTTTTAGTTGCATAATACTCTGATTCAGATTATTACCCAGTGGCTTTTCAGCTGTTAGGAAAGAATGGCACTTTCTGCTGCCAGATACAAAAATTAGATGGAAGTATTTTTATATCTTTTTTATACAGAAGAATTCATAGTCGTTGCCTTTAATCTTGCCACCTGATTCACTTCTATCATCCCTTTTCGCTTTTTTTAAAAAATTGCCTATTCCTGAAATCATGGCAAATCAGATGTAAAGAAACAGGCTCAGAGATGGGCATATCCAGGAAATACAGAAATGTACAATATGTATTAAGGGTAAAATATATAATATGTACATAATAACTAATGCATAATAAATATTTGTTCCTTACTTTCATAATTCTCATCTTTTATAAAAGAATCCAATAATAAATTGAAGGTAAAACTATCTGGAATTATTCCAAACTGTACCTGGAAGAAATGAGCAGAAAAGACAAAGTTGTGTTACATACTTCCAGTAATTCTGAATAGCGGCCTGAACGTGTGATACGGTTGGGCAAATCTAAAGAGATATCAGTATGCATTCTGCTTCTATTTCGGCTTTCATAGATGGACATAGGAACATAAGAAAGAATTTGCAAAGTATTTGCAGAGTAGCTCGTGCCTGAGGAAACAGTGAACTGCTGTTGCACCCATTGACTCGCACAGGCTTCAGATCAGTGTTTTTCAAACCTGGCAAATTTAAGTTGTGTAAATTTCAGTTCCCAGAATTCCCCAGCCAGCATGCTAGCTGGGGAATCCTGGGAGCTGAAGTCCACACATCTTAAAGTTACCAAGTTTGAAAAACACTGCTTTAGATGATGAAAACCAGGACGGGCAGCATTAATTGACCTAAGGTTCATGACAGCTTTCCCACCTCCCTTCCATTAAGCTAATCTTTTAATCAAGAAGAGAGGCAGAACTACACCTCCAGGAGCCCTCGTGCTGTCAGTTTTCTTTTCAGCACCAGAGATTAGGGCACGTAACTAGCCAGCTACACGAATGCAGCCAGCCACCTTCTACTCATGAACTTTTGGAGGGAAATTAGTACTCTTTACTTTCATTAATCATAGGCAATGAGCTCTCAGAGATATATATTACATTTTTCAATATGCAATATGTAAATGACCTTTGCATTCCAAGCCAAGGACAGATAGCATTCAGAAATCTCTGCCATTTCACTTTGTTTCCTGCCAAGCTATGGCACACCAGGAAAGAAGAACATGTTTTTGTATCCTTTCATCCAAGCCTTTAAAACCTTTAGCAGGAAGAACCATTTCCTCTGACTGCACATTGACATTGAAATATCTTTGTACGGCTAAAACAGGAGACCTCAAAAATCTAAGTGGAGCTGCCAAACAAAAACATAAGCCAGTAAGAACGCCAAGGAATGTGGCTCTCTGTGCATGGAAAAATGGCTTGGACAGATAGATACTTCTACTTTTGTTCAACACAGTTCTCAGCTAAATAGAAGTCATTCCTTTAAATGCTTACTGTGGTTTGTGTAGTCTGATTAAATAAATCAAGCTATTTATTAAATCCCTTAATAAAGAAATTGATCACTATCTGGTCAAAAGCGTTAAAGGTATTCACTTATGGATCTCAGTGAGAGAGACATAAGTAGGCTTTTAATCACCCTTACTGAAATCAAGATAGTATTTCTTTTCTTGGGCCAGCGGAATATTACAAAGAAATGTAAGAGGACTTAAAATGAAGAACTGAAACTGTCCAGGATTTCAGCATAACTAATTAATGCCCTTTCTAAAAAGATACTATGACAAGTGAAACATAACTGGTTACTTTATTCTGCAAATGACATTACAGAGGAATCCAGATTTGAAAATAGCAACATAATCCTTCTATTGGAGAACCTAGATGCAGTGCAGAATGTATTAATATATTCATTAATGAAATTAAATTACATTACATGTTTATTATTTGAGAAATTGCAACTCAAGTATTATTTGCCAAAGATACCCAGAGTGGCAATATCTTCAATAAAAACATTTTCTGATGTCCAGATATGTACTATCAGTCTTAAGTGCCTCAGTCTGCCCCTTCCCTTGTATTAAAAGTTTTAGTATTAAAAGATCAATACGTTCTTTACAAATAAAGCCTATAATAACTATTTACAAATCCTTGTTAGAATATACTAATTGAGATATTCAAGAGCATAAAGAGAAATGAAGAAAGGAGTTAGAGTGTTCAGTATAGAAATATGAATGAAAGACCATTTGGGTATCTATGTGTCACAGTTCTATAGTTCTAAAGTTATATTTAATTCAAAAATAATTATTATTTTGTTCAATTGGACATTCGTACATATTTTTAAAAAGAAATCAAAAGACAGAACTAGATGGGTACATCTCTTATTGTAGATGTGGTACTTAATATAATATGACGTGATATGATGTGGCCATGTGCTAGTGGGTCCCTCCTATTCAACAATTCAAGTTATTTCACATATTAATACTGTCCTAAAAGAATTATTCAGTTTTGTAGATATTCTGTTTTTTTTAAATTAAATATCAATGGCTTGGAAACAAACAAGCGGAAAATGAAAATGGAAACTATATGCATTCATGGTTGCAAAAAGCTTACATTACAAGGACATCCATTCTCTCATCAATTATATAATGGTCTGAAGAACTTACCTTTTTGCTACCTCTGGACAAGCATTTTATCACCAGGAATCCCAATAGGAGGACTGTAAATTTTGGACTACGCATAATGTTTACATATTAATCTTCCATTTTTTAACTTATTGCTAGGAAGACTGGTATAAAAATTAATCATTTAATTGTATAATAGGTCATGAATTTCCTATGTAACATTACTTTTGATTAGTATATGAGCAAGGTATGATTTTGTGAAGAGATTGTTTTTCTCTGTTTTGTTAGTTTCTTTTTTTTCATACAAAATAAAATATAATAAAATTTAAAAACCTTGTTTTGGAGAGTATACAAAGCTTTATCCCGTGCACCAAACTTAAGACACTGCCTAATCCAGCTGTGGATGATCCAGTCTCTCAAATAAAAGCAATTAGGGCTGTGTCGAAACCTAAGTGATGAGACAAACATCAAGAATTAAAAAGGCTAATGCTGAATTACAAGGTATATTTATTGCAAGGTGTAGTACATTAATTATACATAAGCATTATGAAAACTAAAGCATTTATTGATACTTAAAGAGTACCAATTTATTATGAGATAATTAGCTCCATTTGTGATCCCTAGGATTAGTAAGATAACAAGAGCATATTTTATGGCCCATAACTGGTTGGGTTCAATACAGCCAATGTTTCTAATTTTTAAAGGTCTATAGTTCTAGTAAAACACTAAAGAGGCTGCTTTGTTCCACATGTGGGTCAACTGGATTTAAAATATTTAGTTGAGATTTGGCTAAATCCTAATTTTAAAGTTTTAATTTCTTGGAGCCATTTCACACATCACAATCCAATTATACCAGCTGTCAACGGGCAGTCACAATCAATTCTGCCCATCAAGAAAATTATTGGAGAGAAATATGCAGTTTGAAACATCTTTTGTCACATTCTCACTTTATATATCAGATGAATAATTGTTTAAATTCTAAAATGTAAATGAAAAGAGTAATAAGATACAACACAATAGAAAGTCACAGGTTCAATTGATTAGCCACTGGAAAAAACTGCAAAAAATAAAACACGTAAAAGCAAGCTGGATTCAAAGCAGCTTTCTTCATCAGAGGACTCTTCCCGCCAGAACCAACTAATTATTCATATTAGAACAATCACACTCTGCAATTTTTTTTTTCCAGATCAATTAAATTGGGAGAAATATGAAAATATTTTAGTAATACATCAAAAATAGAAGGGCCATTATAACAAACAAATGGAACAGCCACACCCTCATCTCAAATATTCCATTTAACTTTACTATGCACTAGTAGCCTTTATACGTCCTAAACCTCACTGGACAGTTTGGAACTGGTGGGAACTGCTTTTATTCCCCATTGTTAGAGACTGTGAGAAGCAGGTGGAAGAGCTCAGTTGTGTCAGAAGAGGCAGCATAGCCCAGACGTGGGGAGCAAATGTTTCAAATGTTTAATTAGCTTGCTATAAGTCTGCCTGGAAACCATTTTTTACAATTTTCAAGATTATGTTTTTACACTGAGTGGCAAGAAAAATGTCTTTCTGAAATTTATGTTCTTGGCTTTTGAATTTGTCAGCTATATGGAGCTTGACAGCTATCAAAACACACACACATAAGAGAGAGATAATGTTCTGCAAACTTCCTAATGTGATAAATGATGTTGTTATAGTTACAGAAGGATCCGCCCTGAAATAATTAGTTCTCTGTAATGTATGATCATTAAAGGAACTTCTGCTTGACCAGAGGTCCCCTAGGGCAGTGTTCCTCAACCTTGGCAGCTTGAAGATGTGTGGACTTCAAATCCCAGAATTCTGGGAATTCTGGGAGTTGAAGTCCACACATCTTCAAGCTGCCAAGGTTGAGGAACACTGCCCTAGGGACCCTCTTCTCAAGTAGGGAAATGCTCTTCTCTCCAATAAGTTGTTCTGGGGCTCTCAAAAGCAGCTCTAAAACCAGCTTTATCAACTGCACAAAGAGACTGCTGAGAAACTATCAGAATTTCAATTTTAACCCGAGAAACTAAAATCAGGCAAAACCATTCAAAATGGAAGAATGTTAATAGAATACCTGATCAAATATTTTTGGGTTAACATCATTAATCACTGGTGAAAATGTACCACAAAAAGAAAGCTGCTATGATTACATGGCTGCAGAGGCTGACATTTGGGGGCAGTTGCTGGAGAAGTTTCCTGCCCAAGGAAGGATCCACTCTCAGTCTCCTGTTTGCCTAGCCCAGTGTTTCTCAACCTCAGCTCATACTGGCTGGGGAATTCTAGGAGTTGAAGTCCATCCATCTTAAAGTTGCCGAGGCTGAGAATCACTGGCCTAGCCCCTAGGTTTGCTACTTCTCCTTCTTGTGGTTGCTGCTTGCACTGAACAAATTAACAGTGAGAAGAACAAGGAGACAAATTCTAAGTCCCAAGCATCATCTTCTCCTTCTAGGAACTGGATCCTAGTGGAAGGCAAACTAATAAGCACTGGCAACAGCAGCAAAGGAATGAAGTGGATACACTAAGAAAACAAGCCAGTTGAAAGCATCTTGCTCAACCACTTCCTCCTGCAAAATTATACAACATAAAATAAACCCTTGCTTTATTTTATATTGTCCATTGCTGATTATATCTTGAAAAGAAGAACATTAGAGAACATGCAGGTAGGAATTGTTACATACAAGCAGCCTTTGGACCTCATTCTGCACATACTCTGAGCTGTTCCCAGCTTGGCTCTGGACCTCCCTGTCCTTGCCCTTTTGGCTTTCTTTTGTGGCTGTGCACTGAACATGGAAGATAGCTAGACTTTTTTTGTAATGACAGGGCCATGAGCAATCTGTTTTTCTATTGGCTTTGTTTTCATTTCCTCACACCTTCCAGTTCCTGGGTGCAAGCAAGCTGTAGTTCAGCATCTGCAGCAACCTACCTATGCTAGAGAAGGAACACAGGCAAGCTTATCACTGAGCCCTAACTTAATCCTCTAGACAGTTTCACAATTCTATAGGCTTCATAATGGCATCTACAACTATGCCTATGGTGACTATGAAAAGTGCTTGGCTGCAAAAATGTTACCATGCTACCCTTCCTGCCAAAAAAGAGCAGACACTTTTTAATAGAAACAGTAGTAATGACAGCTTCTCAACAGGGGAAAGAAATCTATATACTGTACCACCAAAACTCTCATGTCTGTAATCTTTAAATGGGCGAAACAGTGCATCATAAGGCAACAATTTTTGAACTAAGTTACCTCAGATGGGTTAACTTACAGAATGTGTCCAAAATCCAGGACTCATTACTCCCATAGGATTGAAATTTGGGAAATTTGTGGCTGCTTCAGTGCTGCTATGCTGCCTTGGTCAGCCAAGGTCACATAATTATCATGGGTGCATCCTCGACCTCTTTCCCACCCCCCTCTGGCCCCTGCACCTAATCAGCTGGTGGCAAGGCCTGACTGGTGAGCAGCAATTGGCTGCTTTGAAACCAAGGCAGAAATATGAAATCTCTTAACAACGTTGAGCGTTGAGGGAAGGACAAGGGATGCCTACTGCCTGGGTAGTGCCAGGAGTCGACATGTGAACCCTCTTCCTCCCTCAAGGAAGGGGGTCTTTGGAGACATACTGGGGTGGGGACCATGGGTGCAGTTTTCCTTGCAGTCCATGGCTCCCTTTGTTCCACCTCCCCCCAGCAAAGTGGCAGGCAGTTCCATGGGTTAGCCAAGGAGGAGGAGGCTTCACTGGGGCTCTCCTGAAGGTTGTGAGGGGAAGGCAAATGGTGCAAGCCTATATTATATGTGGAGAGAGAGGGAGGGAGGGGAGGAGAAAGAGGAAGGGAGGAAGAGAAAGGGAGGGAGGAAGATTTCCAATGCTACCTGCCACCTTTCCACAACCAAGGTCAATGGGGAAGCCGGCAGCAAGTTGGAAGTCACTCCTGCTCCCACTGCTTTTTTGCCCACTCATGATCATCCTGTTTCTCTGTTTAGGTAAGGAAAAATCCCTGAAGTGATGACCCAACAGGTCACAGATTGTCTAGTATATACTTAAAATTGAAAGATAATCTATATTTACAATTGAAGGGGAAATGGTGCTAGCAATTTGTTTTCCCAGGAGGATGGAAATTTTTGCTAGCTGGGCAGGCTGGTCAAGTTTGAAATTTCCTGCCACTCACCGAGATAGAGAACTGGAGGGCTCATTGTATTTCCTACTCGTTCTCCAGTGTTTTGAGGGCAGCAGAAATGAAGGCACTTGAGAGTCAGCTTCAAACTGATTTGTGAGGGGGTGGAGAGTGGAAAGTGAGTTAAAGTTGTACTTTGCTAAAGTGACTTCAGTTGTACATGGCAAAGTAAATAACCAATCTAAAATTCATACTCAGGATGTAGAATGGCCACAAAACGTTTCACCTACATAACCAATGACCAATAAAAACATTGTTCATGACAATTCTGAAGTAAAGTGATGGTAATACTTGCTCTGTAAAATGGATCCCAAGCATGAAATAAAAGTTTTTGGACAGCAGTATCTAAAATAAGGACAGAGTCTCAAGCTGCTCAATGTAAACCATTGAAGGAAGGCCAAAGGATAAAATCTGGAAAAATAAACTTCTAGCTCAGAGGAAGTCTTAATTCATTGCCAAAAGCAAACCAAAAGAAAAATACCACCAACTGAACTGATGAAATACCACAAAGTTTTAAGGCTACACAGCTACTTTACAGTGAATACCAGTGGTTTGCAAACTTGGATTTGGGAAAGGAAGTCTTGGTTTAAATCACAGAAAAACATACAATTATCTTAAATTTTCTAACTCTTTTTCATGAACTCTCATGCTCTTACTACATCCCTAAAGGACTTGATTTTATTATTTCCATAATCCTAAAATTAGAAAAAACATGGTTAACTATCTAAAGTGTTGTCTCCATTCATTCTCTGTCTGCATACAGAGGTACCATAAGGTTTTCAGGGCAGAAAAGAGTTTAAAAATAGGGGAAAATCTTATTTAATAACAGAAAACAACTTGTAATGTGAGGAAAGAAAATTCCTAACCATATCTTATGATTGTCTGACCCACTGACTGAAGCCTTTAAATCAGAACTGGATAGAAGTAAATTAGGATTTATTGATCAATCTCCAGATAGCTAACTCAACCATGATTTCTGATTCTCAGTTATTCTACAGCAGCAATAGAAATTTGACTCCTTCATCTTTAATTATATTACTATAATGGAAAAAACACTACTGATTGTGGGGCATTAGCCAGAAGTTCTAATACTCTTTCACCTTGGATACTCAAAACTAATTTGTGAGCTCAGATTTCTTTAATTCTAAGTACATCAAGTTCTGGTGGTTCTAGTAAAAGTCAGAATAATCCTATAAACTAGAGCTCTTTCTGTCGTTGTTCTAAGATCTATATAACCTATAAATGACAAGGCCTAGGAACCCCTGCA